GCTGGTTCACTCTCCAGTTGGCCAGAACGGCTGGAGCTGGGTCAATGAAGCCAGGAACCAAGCTTCTTCTGGGTCTCCCACGCAGGTGCAGGGGTCCAAGCACTTGGGCCATCTTCTGCTTTCCCAGGCCACAGCAGAGAGCTGGATCAGAAGTGGAGCAGCTGGGATTCCAATCAGCGCCCATATGGGATGCTGGCACTGCAGGCCATGGCTTTACCCGCTACACCACAGCGCCGGCCCCTGGGGCAGAGTGTCCCAGGGTGTCTTGGAGCCACAGGCACAGGCTGTGCTGGAATGGAGTCCATGTGGAGGAGTGAAGGGGGAGGTGCAGGCCTCACCATGGTGGGGCTGCCGTGTGGGCTTTGGCTTTTTCCCCAGGCAAGGAGGGACGTGCTCAGACTCAAGTGTGACCCTGTGCAGACAGGAGGGGAGAGCTGGGACTCAGACGGCCCCTCCAGCGCTCGTTTTGCAGATGAACAGGCTGGAGGTTGGAAGGACTCCGCCCCTTCCCAAGGCTGCCCAGCTGGGACAGGGCTGGCACCCGAGGGCCCCCTGCCTGTGAGCTGCCTGTGAAGGCCACGCCTCTGCTTCTCAAGGACCAGGCCCAGCGCTGCGAGGTGCAGCTGTGTGGGCCTCACTCTGGTCACTGCTGAAGAATAGACCCTCGAGCTGGACAGACAGACGTGAGAAGGTCTCAGAGGAATTTCAGTCATGTGTTCTAGAGTCAGACGTAACGCAAGCCTTGGTGATAGCTATTGAGCGACGGCAGGGCTCCCTGGGGACTGGCAGCTGCTGCCCTGCCCTTTCCTGGGGTGCAGGACCTCCAGCGGGGCTCACTGCAGAGCCTCTGGCCCGCGCCTTCCGCTGGGCCTGCCTGCTCGAAGGGAAAGCCCGGGGGACTGCAGCCCTGCTTTGGGGGCAGAGGCCTAATTTCTGTACCCCTGTGCCACGCCAGCTGGGCTCCCAAACCTGGGCTCCTTGAACAGTCACAGAATCCTGGAAAGCGGCGGTAAGCACACTCCCTCAGCGGCATGAGCGGGCAGCGAAGTCCGCCCTGGCCCTCGCTGGGGTCCCCGCTGTCTTCCTGCTCTTGTGGCTGTAGGAGTGAGAGAGGCGACCCTCAACAGACAGCGTAGTTCTGGCTGGGTAGAACCCGCTGTGGCCACCCGCCCTGGTCTTGCCGCTGCCCAGTGGGGCTCCGCTGTGTGCGCCCCGGTACAGTGATCCGTTCTCCGGGGAGTGAGCTCCTGGCCTGACTGTTCGGAGCTTCCGGTGGCCTGTGGTGAGCAGTCGGGCTGCTTTCTGTCGGGGAGCGCTGGCGTGGCCAGGTCGTGCGGCCAGCACGCGCCGAGTTGTAATTCTTACCGCCGGGTGGTTCTTCACCCTGAGAGTGCCCCTGCAGCCTTCTGGACTCTTGGCCTTGGTTTTCTGAGTTGTAGGCGTTCTAGGGATGTTGATGGTTTTGGTTTGCACTTGTCCACACTCCCGGGATTGTGTCATTCCTTGGTTCTCCTGTGAGACGCTCTCGCTCCATGCTTTGTCACGTAGGTGACTGGAATCCGGTCCGCAGAGAGCGGGGAGGGCCGGGCAGGCCCCGTGCGCGGGCCGGGCTCCCGAGGCAGGTCTCTGTCTCTGTGCTGCGCCGGCAGCTCCCCAGCGAGCGGGCGTCCTCCACTGCCGTGCCGTGCCGGGTGTTTCATCACCTCTGCTGAGGCGCCTCCCTCGGGAGGACGGGAGGATGGGGCAGGACCCAGGCGGGGCCGGGGGATCTTCCCGTTCCTCCCCTGCTGCTGCTTCGGAGTCGCCTTTCAGCGACTGTACAAAGGGGCCGTGGGTCCAGAGCAGTGGGCAGGGCCGTCGCCGCCACGCACCGGGGAGACCCAAGGTAACGGCTTCCCCTCCAAGCCTCCGTCCTCACCCGGGCACGTGGGCCCCTGCGCTGGGGTGGCGGGGGGCGTTGAGGAGCGGCTGTGCCGGAGCACCGACACGCTGCCAAGGCCACCCAGCTCACCGCTCTCCAGCTCTGGAGCCTGACGACTCTTGGCCACACCTGGCCGCCCTCCCCACTCTCGCTGGCAGCGGCCCTGTAGTTGGTGTTTCCCGGGCAGCAGCCGTAGGTCGAGCCCTGTGCCCGCAGCGGGGACTTCAGAGTTGCCCGTGACCTGGTGCCACCAAGTCGGGGCAGCTTTAAAGGTGCCGTCGCTGGGCCAGTACTGGACACTGGGCCCCTCTGTCTTCCTTCCGTGTCGTCCGTCCCTCCTTCCTGCAGACCCTTGGGTCTCCAGCCCAGCCCTTTGGGAAGAAGTCTGTTCTGAGCTCATGGCGGGGGAAGTGTGCTGTAGGCTCCTGGGTCGGGGCCGGGGCCGGGGCCGGGGGGGAGGGCTCCCCTGCCTCCCAGCCTCACATTCGCCCAGCTCCTTCCTGCCTCAGAGTCTTTGCCTCTGCTGTTCCCTGTTGGAAATGCTTTTCCCTGCGTGTCTGCTTACGTGGCCTGTGCTGTGCCGCCCTCTACCACCTTCGCTTCTCTCCCAGTGCCCCCGCCCCGTCATGCCGTCCTGTGTGTATTTGTGTGTGGTTTTGCTTCCCTGCCAGAGACTGAGCTTCATGAAGCCGGGGCTGTGTCTTGGGGACGCTGTGTGCCCAGGACAGTGGCGCCGTGGGCACACTCAGAAGTGGGATCTGCAAGTGTTCCCATGGTTCCTTCACTGGGTGCTCAGCAGGTCCTGACGCTGTGCTGGTCCATTCAGCACCCAGAGGTGCGGAGTGCCGCTGGGGGCTACACAGAAAGCACAGTACAGCCTCTGAGTCAGGAAGGCTTCCTGGAGGAGGCACAGCTGAGACTTCGAGGAGGCGGGCAGGCCCAGGGGCTGGAGGGAGAGTGTGAGTGGGGCAGGGAGGGTTGTAGAGGCGCGAGGACCACTGCCAGGTGTGGTTCTTGGCTGGCGCTGGAAGGGTGCTGAGCAGGGAGGGGCAGGGTCCCATTCTGATACAGTTAAGGGCTGACCACAGGCACGGGGTGGTGGGAGAGGTGCCGGGAGGCCCGGCCCGGCTGCGGGACAGAGGACTGAGTAGGGGGAGGTGTGCAGGGTAAGGGGCAGTGCGCTGCTCCTCCAGGGCCTTGAACTGCAGGCCGCGGCAGATGGCGGACAGCCCCCCCAGGGCGCTGAGCAGGGACATGAGAGGGTCGGACCTGCCGGAGAGGGGCTGTGGTTGGGGCAGGGCTGGGGGAGCCCAGAGAGGAGGTAGGGCAGGAGCTCACTGGCTCCGAGCCAGGCTGTGGTTTGGCAGGGCTGGGGTCGGGGAGAGGCGGGCGCCATGGGGTAGGCTGTTTTGGGGGTGTGGGTGTCAGGCCAGCTGCCCAAGGGTGCCTGTGTTGCCGCGCCTGGCCCTGAACGTTGCCTTGGGAGCTCAGAGTCCACATTTAAGGCCCCCCCGCCCAGCTCCGTCCCTGCCGTCCCCTCTTCCTCCCGCTCACCTCCCTTCCTTCTGCCCGCCCGGGCAGCCTGCCACCGTCACATGCCAGGCAGTAGTGTGTCCGGCCCACCAGCTCCCCTGGGGCACGAGAGAAAGCTGATGCCCACGGTGTCCCCAGAGCCAGCTGCCACTTCTCCGGGGGCCACCGGAGCTCCTGACCTGCTGTCCGCAAATAACCCCGGGCCGGGTAAGGCGAAAGGCGCCTGGGGCTCCATGGCCCCCAGCCAGGGCCCAGGCTCCAGGTAGGGGCCCAGCTGGCGGCTGCCTCGCGCCCTTCTCTCTGCTCCGGGAACTTGAGACGAAGCAGCGGCCTCGGCGTCTGTCAGTCTGTCGGCTGCTGGTCCCTGAGGACAGAGCGGAGGTCCTGAGAAGGGACGGGGCCTGCTCGAGCCCCCCGGACAAGGGCATACGCAGTAGGTTGCTCGTGCGTTCGAGATCCTGGCGTGTCCCAGACCTGCTTCTCCGCAGTTGGCTGGTGGGGACTGGGGAGCCGAGAGGGTCCTGGGGGCCGGCCAAGGGAGGGGGTGGGGAGGGGGAGGGGCACCTGGCTTGCTGAAGGTGACAGGTGCGTGGCTCTTTGATTTGGAACAGAGAGAATGAGTGAGAACGCCCGTGAGTGTGTGTGTGTGTGTGTGTGTGTGAGAGAGAGAGAGAGAGTCTGTGTGTGGGGTGAGGGGTGTGAGTGAGGGTGTGAGGGATGAGTATTTTAGCAATGTGAAGGGGGTTATGGAGGGCAGAAAGGGTGTGTGAGAGGGTTCTTTTCTGTGTGAGCGGCCGGTGTCTGGGTTGTGTAAGGTGTGTGAGAGTGTGGGGGGTGAGAGTACCCGTTTATGGTTGAAAGGACTTGTGTTTGAGGGATTGAGTGTGAGAACTGAGTGTGGGGGCGTGTGAGTGTGGGGGGTGAGAGTGCCTGTGTATGGATTGTGAGGGCTGTGTGTGTATGAGTGTGGGGGATGAGTGTGTCTGTGTATGGGTTGTGAAGGCTGTGTGTGGGTTATGTATGTGAGTGTGTGAGGGGTGTGTGTGTGAATGTGGGGGATAAGTGTCTGTGTATGGGTTGTGAGGGCTGTGTGTGTGAGGGGCGTGTGGGTAATTGTGAGTGTGAGGTGTGTCTGGGGGTGAGAGTGCCTGTGTACAGATTGTGTGTGTGTGCGTGCATGTGAGTACAGTGGGGGGGTGTGGGCTAGCAGGTGGGTGCTCCCTCAGGTGCCTGGGCCTGTCTGATTCATCCTGGATTACCTCAGCAGTGGCGCCACAGCCACCTTGACACCCGCCCAGGCGAGGAGGGGCCGTCCCCGCCCCGCATCACTGTGCGTGGGCCAGGGAGCTCTGCTGCCCCAGCCTGGGGCCCCGGGGGACAGGAGCGCGTGTCCCCCTCAGACTGGGCCCCGAGGGCAGCGCTCCCTCGCATCCTCCCTGGGCCCACCAGGAGCAGCACAGGCCACACAAGGCCTCAGAGTGTGGGTGTCAGAGAGGACGGGACTGGGGCGGGGTCTATCCCCCTAACTTCCTCTCTTGTCTTGCAGACTGGGCTCTGTCCACGGTGCCTCCTGCATGTCCTGCTGCCCTGAGCTGCCCCAAGCGAGGTGACAGCGTGTCGCGCTGCCACCATGAACGAGGTGTCTGTCATCAAAGAAGGCTGGCTCCACAAGCGCGGTAAGCAACCACTTCTCCCCTCCGGGCCGCAGGTGTCACCGTGGAGTCCACGTGGCGGTGGGTGGGGGGACAGACGGTGAAGCAGCAGATGGGTGACAGGCGGGGCGGGGCTGCTGTGAGGAGCTGATGGGGACAGAGCCCTGGAGGAGATGAGGACAGGAACTACACACAGCTCCCAGGGAGCACAGGCTCCATGGTGGCATGGGCGAGCTGGAGCAGGTGAGGCTGATGAGTGGCTGCACTCCAGCCCTGATGGGCCAGCGGGCCACAGAAGGAGGGCCTTGGCTGTAAGATAGGACCCAGGGTGCTGTGGGCTGGGACGTGACCCAATCCAGGGGTGCAGATGGGAAGCCCAGGCCAAGTGAAATCACGGACAGGAGACCGAGAGCCCAGGACCCTGGACGGAGGCGGGGCGGAGAAGCACTAGCTGGGAGTCAGCCTGGTCCGGGTCGGCCCCCTGGGAGAAGGCGTCAGGCCTGCTGGTGGTGCTCTGTGTGCGCGTCATTCGCCTGGCCAGCTCCTGTGGGCCTGCTGTAAGTGGGGTGGCCACAGCAGTGAGCCCACGAGGCCAGCACCTGCCTTCATGTTGGTTTCTCTCATTCTGGCCTTGGGTGCAGACAGCGCCTGGACAGACAGATAGGCTGAGAGAAACATGGGGAGGGCGAGGCGCGTGGGCAGGGGCTGTCAGGTCGAGGGTCTGGGGCAGGGCTCTGGAGACCAGGAGGCCTGCCCGCCATCCTGCCTGAGCTCCAGTGAGGGACAGAGGCACTCTCCAGGCCAGCTCTCCCCACCAGGTGCAGCAGGGGAAGACTCATTTCCCGCTGTCCTCTGCCGGAACCCTGACCTAGCCCAGACTGAGCCCTGGGCTTGAGGCTGTGGTTACAGTTCTCTGAACCCTGGCAGGTTCTAACCCTGGCTCTGCCACTTCCTCTTGTGCGAGCGAAGGCAGGCTGTCACCTCGCTGAGCCTTGGTTTCACATCTGTAAAGTGGGTTAACAGCTGTTGTCAGCACTGCAAGGACAGGCATTTTTTTTTTCCCCAAAATGGTCACAATGGCTGGAGTCGGGCCTGTCTGAAGCCAGGAGTAAAGAGCATCTTCCAGGTCTTCAGTGTGGGTGCAGGGGCCCGAGCGCTTGGGCCACCTTCCGCTGCCTTCCTGGGCCATCAGCATGGAGCTGGACTGGAAGTGGAGCAGCCGGGACTCGAACTGCTGCAGGCAGTGGCTTTACCTGCTGTGCCACAACACTGGCCCCAAGGAAGGGATTTTTGTGTTGCTTGTTCACTCTGGTATCCCCAGTGCCTCTGAGTACTCACTGAACGATTGTTGCCTGAATGATTGGCATTGTGGCTGTGTGGGTGTGCTGGGGTCTTCGGCTCCTGTTCGTCAGACTGAGTCCCACTGGACCGGGGTTCGAGGAACCGTGGAGGTGGCCAGAGAGCAGCTGGGGCTTGGAAGTCTCTGGCCTGGACTCGGCTGGTGGCGTTAAATGATGAGTCTTGGTGGCTTTTAGGACCTCGCTGTCTCCATTGTGCTACACGAGGCCAGAGGAGCTGGCCACGGGCCTGGCCAAGCTTAGACACACATGTCTCAGATGTGCACCATTGATACACGCATGTGCACGTGCCCTTGGGGCCCCGCTGGTGCTCATCATTCTGCCTGCCACTGTCTGGGCACCCGCCCCTGCCCGCCCTGAGCAGCCGCTCTGCCCCAGGCAGGCCTGAGTCTGAGTCTGCAGTGCTGCCCTGTGGGCTGGATGCCGCCGTGTGGACTAAGGCAGAGGTTCAGCAGGAAGAGGGACTGCCGGGGAGTTCAGCAGGGAAGGGGCTGAGCGGGCCCTGAACCGGTGCCCTCGAGGCCGAGCCAGGAGCTGCCTCTCGGCAGGGTCTGAGAAGGTGGTCAGACGGCCTCAGCGCACTCACGAGCACCCACCCCTGCTAGCCCACGGCAGGTCTAAGGCCAGTGTGGAGACGGGCAGAGTCGTGGCCAGGCGTGGCTCTGGGCCCCAGGCCTCCCTGGCGCCCGCGTGTGCCTCAGTTTCCCTGTCTGTAGGAGTGAGAGTGTGAGGATGTTTTCCTCCCCGCAGGTTTCTTTCCCTGTTACAGTCAGGTAAGCACCTGCCTCAGTAACTCACCTCCATGCTGAGCCCGACAGAGATGAGGTGTCCTCCCCGTTTTCTTTTCTAAAAATTAGGGTGAAGTTTACTTAACATGAAAGTGACCATTTTAAATGGTACAATTCAGTGGCCTTTCGTACATTTGCCGTGTTTCATAACCACCACCTCTGGTTCCAAAACCTTTTCATCACCCAGAGGAAAACTTTGTACCCGTCCAGCAGTCCGTCTCCCAGCCCGCCTCTCGCGGCCGCCCGGTTGCTTCCCTCTCCACGGGTGTGCCTGGATGGGCCCTGTCACTGGACTCCTGCAGTCCGCGGCCTTCTGTGATGGGCCACTTTCACGGGGTGTGTGTGCCGTTGCTTCTGTGTGGTAGCACTTGGCAGCACTTCACAACCCCCACCTTTTTAATTTTTTTTCCAGATATATGCTACAATTTTTTTTTTAAAAGAGTTACTTATTTGAGAGGCAGAGCGAGAGAGAGCAAGGTCTTCCATCTGCTGGTTCACTCCCCAAATGGCCGCAATGGCTGGAGCTGAGCCGACCCAAAGCCAGGAGCCAGGAGCTTCTTCCAGGTCTCCCACGTGGATGCAGGGGCCTAAGGACTTGGGCCATCTTCTACTGCTTTCCCAGGCCATAGCAGAGCACTGGATCAGAAGTGGAGTAGCTGGGACTCGAACCAGTGTCTATATGGGATGCCAGCACTGCAGGCGGCAGCTCTACCTGCTACGCCACAGCACTGGCCTCCTTCTTCACCCCTTTTTGTGGCCGAATAATCCACTGGGTGTCTGTCACCTTTCATTAATAATCACTGGCTTCATTAATAATCACTGGGTGTCTGTCACGTGCTGTTCATCTGTTCATTTGGGATACGCCTGCCCTTTGGCTATCATGGGCTGTGCTGTGATGAACACGACCTGTGTCTGTTCTTTTGGGTGTACCCAAGAGTGGAACTGCTGTACTCTGTGTGTGTTATCTGATGTGCTGTGTGTGGTCCAGGGGCTCATACCTGAGCGAGTGTGGTTGTGTAGTCTGGGTCCTGTCTCCCATGCTGTGCCAAGCTTTCCGTGGGGGCTGCACTGTTCTGGAAATGCAGAGGGTTCTTCACACCCTCGCTGGCGCTTGCTGTCTTCTGTTTAATGCTGCTGTTGCTGTGTCCCAGAGAGTGACAAGGGCTGCCCCATCTTGGTGTTGATTTAAGGACTGATAGTATTGGATCTCTACAACTGCTTGTTGCCCATTGGAGAAATGTCTGTTCTTGTCCTCTGTCCATTTTTAACTAGGCTGTTTGTCTTTTTGTTGCTGAGTAGCAAGTTTTTTTTTTTTTTTTTTTTTTTTTTTTTTAATTTGTGTTTATTTGAAAGGCAGTTACGCACATGTGCACACACACAGACACGGAGGGAGATCTTCATCTGCTGGTTCACTTCCCAAATGACTGTGACAGACAGGTCTGGGCCAAGCCAAAGCCAAGAGCCTGGAACTCCATCTGGGTCTCCCACATGGGTGCAGGGGCCCAAGCACTTGTGCCATCCTCTGCTGCTTTCTCAGGCCAATAGCAGGAGAGCTGGATCAGAAGTGAAGCAGCCAGGATTCAAATTGAACGATCGTGTAAAGATGCAGGTGTCGTAGGCAGTGGCATAACCCTTTGTGCCATAGAACCAGCCCAGTCTTTAGTTTTCATCACCATTTTATAGTGTACAAGCCTTCCACCGTTTTTGTTTTTTTTTTGTTTGTTTGTTTGTTTGTTTTTTTTTTTTTAAAGCAGAGTTATGAGTTACAGAGATCTTCTATCTGCTGGTTTACTCCCCAAATGCTGGGCCTGTGCCAGGAGCCCAGAGCTGCTTCCAGGTCTCCCATGTGGGTGTCAGGGCCACAAGCCCTTGAGCCATGCTCTGCTGCTTTTGTAGGCTCCTTAGCAAGGAGCTGGACTGGAAGTGGAGCAGTGAGAATGTGAACGGATGCCCACATGAATGTCCGCATCACAGGCAGCAGCGTACCCCACCATGGACTGTGCCCGGATCTTCACGAATGGTATCCTTATGGAGGCTGTTATAAAGGGAATTGTCTGAATGTCCTCTTTGGGTTGTTTGTTGCAGGTGTATAGAAATACAACTGGTTTTTGTGTGTTGATTTTGCTAACTTTATTAACTCTAGTAATTGTTTTGTGGCTCTCTTGTGATTTTCTCTATCTAGGGCCCTGTTATCTGCTAATAAAGGTAGTTCTGCTATTTTGTTTTCAGTTTTAATGTTGAGTAGCAGCGTGGAAACTGGCGTCTTTGCCTTGCGCCTTTCATCACGGGCTTGAGGCCGCTGTGGACTTCTCGATGCCTGTTACCACGTGGAGGGAGTGCCCTTCCCTTTCTAGCTTGCCAAGTGCTGTGCATCATGTAAGAGTGTTGGGTTTGGTCAGATGCCTTTTCTGTGCGAGATGGTTGTGTCATCGTCTTCGTCCTGTGAATGTGCTCCATGAATATCATACCCAGTGATGTTCGTATCTTGCACCGTCCTTGGTCCTGATATGTGATCCTCTCAATATGCTGTTGAGTTTGGAGTTTTGCTACTTTTTGAACTTTGTGTAAACAAAATCATTTAGTGTCTCCATTACAAAGAACTTAGTAAGTTAAAAACCTGTAAGATACTCAGAGTAGTGCTTGGCACAAGCACATATAATTTTCTCATCTCTGTCTCCATCTTCATCATTAATTAAAGGATTTTCCCAGAAGCAGAGACATTGACTCTGACAGGTGAAGTGACTTCCTGGAGGTCACAGCCTGTCCTGCCCTCCTGCCTGCCGTGTGTGCCCTGCCACGCTGGGTGCTCCTGTAGTGGGTGACGGGCAGGTGCTCAGCCGGTGCTTCCTTGCTGCTGACTCAGTTGTTGTTATCTTTATTTGGAAGGCAGAGTTACACACTCACACACAGATCTTAAATCTGTTAGATCACTCCCCAAATGGCTGCAATGGCTGGGCCTGGGCCAGGCTGAAGCCCAGAGCCTAGAACTCCATCCTGGTCTCCCACGGGCTTGGCAGGGACCCAAGCACTGTGGCCATCCTCCGCTGCTTTTCCAGGTGCATTAGCAGGGAGCTGGATCGGAAGTGAAGCAACCTAGATGCAAACCAGTATCCATATCGGGTGCTGGCGTTGCAGGTGGGGTAAGCCCTCTGCATCACAGCGTGGGCCCCGGCATCTTGGTTTTTAAAGCACTACTGACTCTCAGTCCACACGCTGCAGGACGCGGCCGTGTGAACCATGCAGTTCAGTGGCTGCTGTCGCCATGGTAATTTTAGGGCACTTTTTTTACTGCCTTCGAGAGGAGCCTTGCCTGTTGGCCATCACCCTTGAGTCCCCGCCCCGGATCCAGCACCTCCCCAGCCCTGGGCAGCCCCCGCTCTACTGTCGATCCCTGTGGACTTGCCCGTTCTGCACACTTGACAGAAATGGGGTCTAGAGTTTGTGGCCCTGGGAGTCAGTTCCTTAGTCAGTTTGTGGTACTTGATGGAATTGATGGGCCACGTTTCGTGTGTCCATTTGTCGGTGGGCATTGGAGGTGTGGCCGCTGGGAACACAGCCGCTGTGGACGTGCACGTGTGTTCCTCCGTCTCACTGCGTGTGGGGTGTGTGTATGTGTGTTTCTTGTGCTTGTGTGCGCGCACACAGGGTGCCGGGGTCCTCACGGTCAGGACAGACTCAGGGGCCGGGTCACTTGGAGGGCGAGGCAGCAGCTGACCAGCCGGGCGCCGAGTGCTCTGCGTCACCCACTGTGTGTCTGTGTTGGTGGTAAGGGGCCCTGAGGTCTGGCCTTACAGGGCCACAGGGCGTGTGCTTTCGGGAGCCTGGGCCTCCCCCAGGACGAGCCTCAGGCTGGCGGGGATGCCTCGCTGCTGGCCACAGGCGGGGACAGCTGGCGCCCCGGGCACTGCTGCAGGCGCCTTCCTGCCAGGCGTGAGCTCCGGGTCGCTCGGGCCAGCGCCTCTGCCTGCGTCAGCAGGGGCCACCTCAAGGGCTCCCCTGGGAGAGGTGTTCTCTGTCCACCCTCCCCCCACTGTGGTGCCCCTTGTGAGTCACTGTCACACCAGCTGCTTGCCTGCTGCCCGCCCGCGTGCCTGGGCCACTGTTCAGGCTGGCTCTGCCCTCTCTCCCTCCCCTCCTGCCTTGTTTCAGGTGAATACATCAAGACCTGGAGGCCCCGGTACTTCCTGCTCAAGAGTGACGGCTCCTTCATTGGGTACAAGGAGAGGCCCGAGGCCCCCGACCAGACCTTACCCCCCTTAAACAACTTCTCCGTAGCAGGTGCGTCTCAGGACAAGAGGGCTGAGTTCCCGAGCTCAGAGAATGATTGGAAGGTCTCGGGAGCACATGGGGTTCGGCATGCCGGAACTGTGGGCCTGTGCCAGTCCTGTTTGCCCTCAGAACCATTTCCTGCCCTTCCGTGTCAGGTGGGCCCTGGGAGCCGTCCTGGTGGAAGAAGAGAGGGGCCGGGGTATCCCCTCCCTCCATGCCGTGCCTCTGTGTGGCCCCAGCTCCTGCTGGCTAGGCCCTGGGTTCTCGCTGGTGTCAGGGCCTCCTGACCCACGCTTGGTTGCAGCCCCTACTTGCTCCCTCTGACCAGAGGTGCAGAGGCATCTCCTCAGCATTACAGGGCTGACCTCCTTCCTGCCATGCCTCCACGGCACCTGGAGGGCACCTGCCAGCCGACCCCAACCAGGGGAAGCTTCGCAGGCCCAAAGCCCTGGCCTGGGCCTTGCAGAACCCAGTCCTACCCAGGCCCCGTGCTGCTTCCTCCCCTGCTAACCTGTCGGGCACTAGGTCCTGTTCCGCCTGCTAAGAACGTCTCAAAGGCAGCCATCCTCGCGGCCTCGCTCAGCAGCTCCCTCCCTGCCAGCTTTCTGACCCAGCCCCTCCCAAGGTGCCCCCAGCCACTCTTGTGGAGCCCTCAAAATCCCACTCTGGCTCAGAAAGCTTTTCCCTGGCTTCTGTGCCATCTGCTGCTGACCCCAGAGCCTGCTGCCCACGCTGGCTCCCAGCCTGTCCCCAGCAGCTTCTCGAATCAGGTCCCTGTGTCCTCCGCGCCGTCCCTCGCTTCCCCTTCTCTCCAGCTGGGTCCCTCCCCACCCCCCCGCATGGGGCTTGCCCCCCGAGTCTCCATGTGCTCTTTGCTGCCCTGAGGATGAAGGCCACGTCCCACCTCTGCAGGCACATCACTCCACAGCCCTCGCTCCTGAGCAGGCCTTGCCGCCCCTGCCGTGTGGACCCCTCTTCCCTTCACCCCCGCCTCTGATCTTCATCTTCAGGGCTAAGCTCAGAGAGGCCCCTTCCTCCTGGAAGCCCTCACTAGACGGCTCTACCCTCTGGGGCTCCTCCATCACTGTCCACCGGGGTCTGGACCTGGAGCTCCGGGAGGGCAGGACCAGGGTCATGGAGGGTCCTCAGTACTGGCAGGGGGCTGGGCGCACAGCTGGCTCGAGGCCGTCTGCTCACCTGCTCCCTCGCCACTCCCCTGCCCACCTGCAGAATGCCAGCTGATGAAGACCGAGAGGCCACGGCCCAACACCTTCGTCATCCGCTGCCTGCAGTGGACCACGGTCATTGAGAGGACTTTCCACGTGGACTCCCCAGACGAGCGGTGAGGCTGCCTGGCGAGAGTGGCCAAGGTGGAGTGCGGAGGAGGGGCGAGGATGGATGACTCCCCTGGGGCCCTACAGAGACGCTGCAGAGAGCTGAGGTCCTCTACCCGCAGCCTCGATGGCTCGGGGGAGCCTGGGTCGGGCCTCTGGGTCCCTGCAGAGGGGCCGGGGATCATTTCAGAACCAGAAGCAGTGATTTAGGTTCATCTTGTTCAAAACTGAAACTGCGGAGCTAGGGCTGGAGAAAGGCCCCTCTCACACCTCTGCCCCAGCAGGCCGTCCCCAGCCCCCGCCGCCGTCCTCCTGCGTGTGGAGGGCACACAGACCTCGTGCCACGCTCGTCTTGTCCACACACTGTTCTGAGCTTGTGTTTGCGTAAGGCTGCGCCGTCTCTGGGGGACCTGCTCCCCTCAGGCGTCGCGTTCCCAGGTCTACTTAGCGCTTCCTCACCGAGGGTGGTGCGTTGTTTCTGAGCGTCGGCCCGTCATAAGCAGTGCTGAGCGAGGTCCGAGGCGTGTGCCTCGTTGGACGTGTGCCGGGGAGCCCTTGGCTGTGGGAGTGCTGCTCACAGGAGCAGCCACTTGTGGGTGAGGAGTTCCTGTTGTGGAATCCGAGCGCGCCCCCGGCCAGTGTTCTCCGTGCCGGGCCTGCACCTGGCTGCCTGGTGGGAGTCGCACCGCGTGGTCAGCCCTCGGGGGCCAGGTGAAGCTGTTTTCTGCTGGGCAGTTCTTGTTTGTTTATAGCTGAGGCTCTTTTTTTTTTTTTTTTTAAAGGTTTATTTTATTTATTTGAAAGAGTTACCAAGAGAGGTAGAGCCGGGGCGGGCGGGGGGAGGTCTTTCATCTGCTGTTTCACTCCCCAAATGGCCACAGTGGCCAGTTCTGAGCTGATCAGGAGCCAGGAGCTTCTTCCCAGTCTCCCATGCAGGTGCAGGGGACCAAGCACTTGGGCCATCTTCTGCTGCTTTTCCAGGCCGTAGCAGAGAGCTGGATGGGAAGTGGGGCAGCCGGGACTCGAACCGGAGCCCATATGGGATGCCAGCACTGCAGGTTGGGGTGTTACCCGCTGTGCCCCAGCGCTGGCCCCCTGAAGATTCTTTATATATGAGGAAGCCTCACCCTTTATAAAGGCCAGCGAATGTTCTGTTGCCCTACGTTGTCCTTGTGGGCCTCGCTCTAAGAAACTCTCCTCCAGGCTTCCACTGAGCCCTGGAGAACCTCGCATCTTCCAGCGTCTTCCAGCAGCAGTGTTTTCCACAGTGATGCCGGCGTCTCGTGTCGTGTGGTCCCTGACGGGAGCCATGGGCTGCGTGTGCCTGTGAGTGCTGTACATCCGGTGACGAGGGCTCGGCTTTAGGTTATATGACTTGAACTGACCTAAGTAGCCACGCCATGGCGGTGGCTGCCCTCTTGGACGTGGCAGCTCTGGGGGCTGTACTGACCGTCAGCTACCAGGCGTTACCACGGTCTGTGCTGGAACTACCGTTGCATATCTCCCTGGGGTTAAAAATACACTCGCTGCACCGAGGGGAACAGAGTTACCACCCTGGCCAGCTGAGGGGTTACTCGATTGAAAACCAGGGGCCTGATGGTAAAGGCAGCTCCACACCAGCAGGTGTGTGGGTGCTGGGAGCCGCTGCAGGGACAGGAGGAAGACTCCGGAAGGGGACTGGTGCAGCGGAGGCCTGCAGGTGGAACGGCTCGTGTGCCCGGGGCCACGGGGCTTCTGCGTCTCAGAGCGCCGAGGCACCGGGAGACCTGGCCGGGGGCGGTAGACGCTGGAGAGCTCAGCTGTGGCCAGGGCTCCTTGGCAGGCGCTTGGGAAGGTGGGGTTTGTCACAGGCTTGTCCGTAGGCCCAGGAGGGGGATAAGCTGGAAGCCTTAGCCCAGCTGTTCCCGGTATGAGCCTGGCCGCGTGTCTGACTGGGCAAGAGAGGGAACCTAGCTTCCGGCTCCCAAGACCGCTCGTCCTTGTGTGGGGCCTCCCTCCTCGTCTTGGCACCTCTGCTGCTGCCCCCACTGGAGAGGATGCTGGCCCAGGGACCAAACCCCTGATGCCTGCCCTTAGCTCTGGGGGAGATGGGAGCTGCTGTGGCTCCGTGCGACCCACCGTGCCACCCCACGTTGCGGGGGGGTGCCCGGACTGGGGTCGGAGCCACTGCTGTGTTTGCCCCTGGAGCTCAGTTCCCAGGCTGTCGAGGGCCATGGAGGCGGTGAACAAGAAAGCAGCAGGGGCCCGGCCTGCCCTGTGGAGTCCTTGGGCACCGGGGCTGCGGCCATCTCCTCCCTGCATCCCCTCTGTAGCCCGCTCCTCCTGCCTCTGCCTCTCCCCCTAGCCCCCTCCCGTAGCCACACAGAAGCCACCGATGTACAGCAGACTGGAGCCCATCGCCCCCATGGGAAACCCCTCACGCAGTGGCACACGGAGCCTGGAGTGGTCCGGCGAGTCCTCCGTCTCGCCCTCGCCGCCTCCACTGTTGGCTCTGCCATATTCACCTGCTGGGGCTGTGTTGGGCTGTTCTCCCCCCACCCCGGCTGCCCCCAGCTGTGCATCTCATGGATTTCACAGCCACGGCCGAGTGCCTGCTCCAGACCCGGGTGGTTCCGGGTTCTGCGGACGCCCGTGGGTCCTGGTGTGAGGCGGCTGCCCCTGACTGCTCTCCGACAAGGGCTTCCCTCTCCACTCCCTGCCCTGGCGATCGATGCTGTCGTTCTCGCTCCGACTGGGAGCCCCACTGGGACTTGCTCCCCGCTCTGTTCTCAGCACCCAGAAGAAGCCTGGCACAGAGGAGGTGCCAGTGAGTGCTCACGGCAGCCCGAGAACTGCCGGAGCATGTGTGTGTGTGTGTATTTCAGATTTATTTAATCGAAAGGCAGAGCTACAGAGGGAGAGAGATATCTTCTGTCTGCTGATTCACTCCTCAAGTTGCCCCAGTGGCTTAGGCTGGGCCAGGCTGAAGCCAGGAGCCTGGAGCTTCTTCCAGGTCTCCCATGTGGGTGCAGGGGCCCAAGCACTTGGGCCATTCTCCACTGTTTTCCCAGGCGCATTAGCAGGGAGCCGGATCAGAATTGGAGCAGCCGGGTCTCAACTGGCACCATATGGGATGCTGGTGTCCCAGGTGGCGGCTTTACGTGCTGCACCACAGTGCCAGCCCCTGCCGGAGGGTTTTCTGCTCCTCCCCCTCACAACCCTGCAGTGCCGTTCCCCGAGTCAGCCTCTGAGGCCCCGAAGCCACTGGGCCTGCCCAGTGTTTCCTGCAGGAGGAGGCCGAGCTGTGGCTGGGGCCAGGACATTGGTTCCAGTGCTGGAAAAGCCGGGCCGCTCACAGCCATGTGGCGAGCCTGCTGTAGAGCTGAGCCCCGGCCGCGGCTCCTGCTCCCGGGCCTGTGCCCTGCCTGGTGTCACTGGGGTGAAGGGGGCTCTCCTGTGTGCCCTGCCTGGCCCTGAGCCCGAGGGAGGGAGGAGAAAGTCTGAAAAGTAGCCCTGGTAGGAGCAGTGCTCTTGGGAGAGGCGGGAGTGCCTGTTAGTCCCCAGGCCTCTGCTGGCCGCGCAGGTGGAGCAGTGTCAGCCCGTTCGGCCCAAGCCCCCTTAGAACAAAGCAGACAGTCGCGCCTGCCGTGTAGGACTGTCGCGGGGTTTCAGACCTGCCTGGGGGTGGCATTCACACTGCTGCTGTGGGTTAGCATGGGGAGCCCCTCTCAGAGGGCGCTCCTTGCGTGGCAGCCCGTGGTCTGTGCACAGACCTGAGACGGAGCCACGCCTCTCCAGCTACTTCTGAGGCTGACACTTGGGCGTCCTGCACAGGGAGAGGCAGCTCTGCCTGGACTTGAGTCCCGGCCCGTGACCCTGAGTGTGCGACCTCCACAGGCGCCGCCGTCTCCGCGTCAGAACCACGGCCCCCACCATGCTCCTAGAGGGGTGGTGCCGTCTGTCTCTGCTTGTGTCTCAGTGGGGGCGGAGGCTGGCTTCCCAGGGCCCTCCTTCTGGGGGACTGGAAGGTACTTCAGCCCCAGCTTCGAGTGTGAGCTCCCCTCTGCCCCAGACACCGTGTTGCAAACCCTTGTGGAGTGGCCTGGACAGAGGCCCTTGCTTTTCCTCTGGAATTCCAAGTGCTGCAACCTCGCAGCCTTGGTCCAGTTGGAGCAGGATCGGGGCTCGTTGGGGGCGGAAGGGCCCCAGTCACCCCTGGCCAGCCTCCTGCCTCGGCTCCCCATGCACTCTTGAGGCCCTTTGTGAGGGGAGTTTCTGAGGGCCCAGACCTGGCCTGGGTGCTGCAGGCCACGGAGGAGGGCCGCACTGGGCGTGTGTGCTGGCCTCGGTGGCGGAGCTGCTACGGGAGCCCCGCCTGGGTGGCTCCGGCCCCCATTCCTGCCGGGGCTCCTGGGAGGCCGCGCTCCGGTTCCTGATGCAGCCGACTGTGTTCCTCCTTCCACCCTCGCTTTGTCAAAGCCCTGCGTGTCCCGGTCTGCAGCCTGCTGCCCCCGTGTTGCGCTCTCCACGGTGCTGCCGATGTCACGGGTTCTCAACACGGTCACCGTATCGTGGATCTCTGTCTTGTCTTTTCTTTTTTTTAAGCCCAACGTCTTAGACTCGAGGTCAGTGTTTTAAAATTTGTAAGAGGACAGCTCTGGTCTGCTCAGGCATGTCGTGAGATAGGCCCCTGGCCCTCCATATTGTGAGAAACAGGAATGTGAATGCTGGGATTGGGATTTAGGCTGCAATTCATTCCCCCAAAGGGGACATAGGTCAAAGCAAGTTGAGAAATGTCGGCTGGAGGCGTGGGGTCAGGGCAGAGATGCTGCCCTGCTGTGCCCCGGCCCGGGGCTGTGCAGACATGAGGCACCTCGCTGGGTAATGAAACCCAGTGCCTGCCGAGTGCCTGCAGGTAGAAATGCCTCCCTCATGGGGCTGGCAGCTCGGGCGGGGAACAGCGGTGTTCCAGCTGTCGCCGTGGGTGCACCCGTCTTAGGGAGCTGGCTGTGACATCTCAGCGAGACGTGGGGGTGAGACCCGCTGGGGAAGGCAGAGCCTCCGGCGCGTGAGCTGGGGCCTCGGGGTCGCTGCGGCTCGTCAGCCGCCCTGTCCCTCTGCCTGGGAAGGCGTCAGGCTGGGAGCAATGGCTGTGCTTCTTGAATTGATTTTCTAACCCGTGCCTCGGTTTCCTGCTCTGTGATGCAGGGGGAGGGGCTGGGGGGTGGCGGAGGGAGCGGTGAGTGTTGGTCCTCAGGACTCCTCCTTGTCCCTGACTCCCAGCTCCCTCGAGAGGCCGTCTCCGCGCCGGCCAGGGCGGCTCCTGCAGAGACGGCCATGCTGCCCTGAACGTGTGTGCGGGAAGTCTCAGCTTCTGCCCGCGGCAGCACAGGGCTTTCCCCCTGAGGCTGTCGGGCCCCCGGCGAGCGCCCAGGTCGCCCCCTCCCAAGCTGCACTGGCTCTGCGTCAGGGACTCGCACGCTTTCTCTGCCCGTAGCAGCCTCGGCTTCCAGATGCCATCTGGATGACACACCGTGATTTTTATCTCATTTATTTATTCTTTAAAGATTTATTTATTTGAGAGGCAGAGTCATACAGAGGGAGAGACAGAGAGAGGTCTTCCATCTGCTGGTTCATTCCCCAAATGGCTGCAAAGGCTGGAGCTGAGCCAATCCGAAGCCAGGAACCAGGAGCTTCTTCTGGGTCTCCCAAGCAGGTGCAAGGGCCCAAGGACCTGCTTCCACTGCTTTCCCAGGCCATCAGCAGGGAGCTGGATCGGAAGGAGTTGCCGCGACTCCAGCCAGCACCCATATGGAATGCCATCACTGCAAGCAGAAGCTTAACCTACTACGCCACAGCGCTGGCCCCAATTTTTATTTTTTAAAAAATACTTACGGGCCTGATGTTTTTGGCATAACGGGTTAAGCCTCTGTCTGTGACACTGGCATCTCATAGAGTGCTGGTTCAAGTCCCAGCTGTTCCACTTCTGATCCAGCCCTCTGCTAATGCACCTGGGAAAACAGCAGAGGATGGCCCAAGTCCTTGGGTCCCTGTCCACCCACATGGGAGACCCAGATGGAGTTCCAGGCTCTTAGTTTTGGCCTGTCCCACCCCTGACTGTTGTGGGCATTTAGGGAGTGAACCAGCAGATGGCGGGTCTCTGTCTGTCTGTCTGTCCCTCTCTCTGTTACTCAGCCTTTGAAATAAATCCTGAAAAAATATCATTTATTTGAAAGGCAGAGATCTCCCTTCTGCTGCTGCATCCCTGAGTGCCTGCAGCCTAGGGTGTTGTGATGTGGGGCTTGGGTGCCCCGGGTGGCACTCGGCAGCATGGAAGCAGTGCCGGTTACACCGAGGCAGGCTGCCAGCTGTGAGGTGTAAGGGAGGTTTGGGAGGGGGTTGGCCTGCAGGTGCATCAGGCTTGGGCCTGGCTCACCCCTGGCTCCGTGTGTAGCGCCGCTGGAAGAGGCTGGAGGCGGGCGTGAAGGGCGGGCGCTCTGGCTGTACTCGCTGCTGCCCAGGTAAACCTCTGGGACGGGGGCTGCCTGCTCACTCTGTCTTGAATTTTCTCATTCTCAGTGATGGGCTTCTTTTCCCCACTGGTCGTGTGATTGTTCTCTAGACTCAAAGAAAATACAAACCACACAGTGTGCTGGGTTGAAGCGCTGGAAAGTGCTGTGGGTATGTCCAGAATGGAGTAGCATTCAGCCTGATTTTAAAAAATGATTCACTTCTTTACATAAGGGACAGAGTGAGAGAGAGACAGATGGAAACGGAGACACCTTCCATTGCTGGTTCACTCCCCGGATGCGCAAAGCCAGGAGCTGAGCTGTCAGCTGTCCCTTCCCAGGCACATGGGGAGGGAGCTGGACTGGAAGTGGAGCAGCTGGGACTCGGGCACTGCAGTGTGGGAGGTGACGTCCCCTGCAGCGGCTCCCCCCGCTGTGCACAGCGCCACGCCACACAGCGCCGGCTCGCAGCCTGCGCTTCAGTCTCTGGTGATTCCCACAAAGAACGTTTGCAAGTGTCACACTCTGTTGCTGGGACGTTGTAATTCTCAGTGATGGCACTCTTTTGATCTCTCTCTCTCTCTCTCTTTAAATATTTATTATTTTTTTGAAAGGCAGAGTTACAGAGAGAGGAAAAGACAGAGAGAGAGAGAGAAAGAGAAAGAGAGAAAGAGAGATCTTTCATCTGCTGGTTCACTTCCCAAACAGCTGCAACAGCCTGAACTGGGCCAGGCTGAAGCCAGGAGCCAGGAACTCCATCTGGGTCTCCTCCGTGAGCGGCAGGGGCCCACACACTTGAGCCATCTTCAGTGCATTAGCAAGGAGCTGGATCAGAAGTGGAGCAGGCAGGACTCGAACCTGCACCCATGTGGGATGCCGGCGTTGCAGGCCTCTGTGGCTGGAGGCTGCCCCCTGCCCTGCTGCTTGCAGGCTGGCCAGCTCTTGCCCGAGGAGATCTTCAGCTTCTTTAGCCTGGACTCCTCCTTCTCTCCTGGTTTTCCTTGGCAACATGTTGGTGACTCGTGAACTTGAGCTTGGCGTTGGTGCTGAGGAATTCGGCTCCCCCATGTCAAGGGGCGGTCAGCCGTCTCCCCTCCTGGATCCCTGCATTGCTGTGTGGCCTCAGGAGGCCACCCAGGGGAGATCAGGGACCTCTGTCCTTGGTCCGCTCGTGCCTCTCACGCCCGTTGCAGCTGCAGCCCCTCGAGGTTTCAGTCTGCCCCGTCAGTGCGGCTGAAGATCGCACCACAGTCCCCAAAAGCCCACCAGAGGGGCCGGGGCGCTCGTGTGGTGCAGCACCGGGGCTCACGTGTTGTCCCCATGCAGGGAGGAGTGGATGCGGGCCATCCAGATGGTCGCCAACAGCCTCAAGCAGCGGGGCCCGGGCGAGGACCCCATGGACTACAAGTGTGGCTCCCCCAGCGACTCCTCCGCTGCTGAGGAGATGGAAGTGGCGGTCAGCAAGGCTCGGGCCAAGGTGGTGAGTGCGGGGGCAGGGCTCACAAGTGCCCCCGTCCCAGCGCCGGCCCTGCCCACCCTGGTCTCCCTCCTGCGTGTGTGGGAATCCGACCGTGGGCCACGACTGCCCTGCAGGACAGGTGATTCCGGGGGTGGGGGAAGCCCCGGGGCAGCCCTGGTGCCCGCTGCCCTCTCAGAGCTCAGCCCCACCCTCCCCAGGCCCTGTGCCCGGCAGGGCCCTGAGGCAGGAGAGCCTTGGTCTGAAGGCCACCCCGGGGCACGCGGCCACGGCCCAGAGCCTCCCTTCCGGCTCCGGCCCAGCCCTGTGGCAACAGTGCCTGCCAGCGTCCCTGCTTCCTTGTCGGGGTTTCCTCCCACACCGTACCCGGCGCCGACCGCCTGTGCTCCCCGTCCCTGCAGACCATGAACGACTTCGACTATCTCAAACTCCTGGGCAAGGGCACCTTCGGCAAAGTCATCCTGGTGCGGGAGAAGGCCACCGGCCGCTACTACGCCATGAAGATCCTGCGGAAAGAGGTCATCATCGCCAAGGTGGGCAGGGCCCCGCCGTGCTGGCCGCACGACAGAGCAGAGCTGATCGGGCAGCATCGGCTATGGCTGCTGCTGTTCTCGTGAGGGTGAAACGGGACTTCCCGAGGCTGACTCGGGTGGCCCGGACTTTTCTTTCCAGGAAGCGCTGATCTCTTTAGGGGTCTGCCTGCTTCCGTGAAGGGTCTGTTTGGTCCCCTGGCATTTGGTCTGGTGTCCTGGGACCCCACACAGGAGCTCAGCCTGCGCACTGCTGGGGCCAGATCCGTCTCTGCCGCGGGCTGCTCTCCTGTGCTGCATCCCTGGTCTCTGCCCACCAGAGCTCGCCACTTGCCTTAAGCAGAAGTCACCTGGCTTCCCCAGAGTGCCCTCGGGGCAGACTCGCCCCTGGGGAAGGAAGCCAGCGTCCAGGGTGTTGCAGGTGGCTCGGGGTTTGGGGAGCTCTGCTGGTAGCTCAGCTGCCCACTGCGGGGTCCGAGGTGCTGGGCCTGCCTCGGGTTTCTGACTCCGTGGGGCTGGGTGGGCTACGAGAATTGGCATTTCCACACATTCTCAGGCAGCGTGCCTGCTGCCTGCATGAGACCCACACCCTGAGAATCTGCTAGTCAGGAGCCTTGATCGGGTCTCATTCCTGCTCCGGGCAAGAAGGCTCAGCAGTGGCTGAGTCCCAGGTCCCATGGTGGCCTCAGGGCTCAAATGCCTGCTCGCTCCCCCTTGAAGGAGGTTGCACCTGGCCTGGGGGTCCAGTGGTGGCAGCTGACCCCTCTGTCTAAAGCCCTGTGGACTCCACTTCGTGGCCCCTGCTTGTCCTTGTCTGGAACTGTTGTTGAATCAGGGCTTGCAGACAGCGTCAGTGGGTTCCCCCAGCTGCTGCTCCCCTGCCTCGGGTCGGGGTGGGCTGGGCAGCCCCTCACCCACACTCTGTGCAGGATGAAGTCGCCCACACGGTGACCGAGAGCCGCGTCCTCCAGAACACCAGGCACCCGTTCCTCACAGTGAGTCACTGCCCCAGCCCCGTCACCTGCCCGCGGCCTGCATCACTGCCTACACTCAGCTCAGTGTAGGGAGCAGAGAGCGTGGTGGCGCCCGCTGGCCGTGCCGGGTCTCTGCGGAGCTCTGGCGGATGGCGCATCCGAGACCCTGTGTGTAGCTGTGTGCGGCCGCGCTCCTGTTAGGTGGGGGCAGCCCCAGTTGCTCAGAACCTGCTTTCTCCCTGGCTGTGCCAGTGCAGGTGGAGCCACGAGTTCACCCCCCGACCCCAGATGTGGAGCGGGATCTGAACCACAGGCCGGGGGTGGGGGGACGTGCAGAGTCAGCAGCGCCCCTCCCCCCGGCCCTGGCTGCCCTCCTTGCCCATAGGCGCTGAAGTACGCATTCCAGACCCATGACCGCCTGTGTTTCGTGATGGAGTACGCCAATGGCGGAGAGGTGAGTGCTGGGCCTCGCTGGGGCTCCTTCCAGACTGGGTGCACGCCCGGGATGGGGGACACCGACTGACCGTCCCCTGGCCCTCCTGCCTCCAGCTGTTCTTCCACCTGTCCCGGGAGCGCGTCTTCACGGAGGAGCGGGCGCGGTTCTACGGTGCGGAAATCGTCTCGGCTCTCGAGTACCTGCACTCGCGGGATGTGGTCTACCGCGACATCAAGGTATGCACAGGGCTTGGCATAGAGGGCTCGGAGCAGCCTGGCACACACAGGACGCCCCCCAGGGAGCCAGGGCTGGGGTCTGGGCGGTGCTGGGGGGACCTGTCCCTGCTTCCTGCCCGTACCCTAAGCCGCCAGTGGGGGTGTCCATTGGTGCACACCTGCCCCAGTTTGGTAGTGTCCCCCAGAACTGAACACTGGCCGTCTGCTCCAGTGCGCACACAGCGGAAACGGGCACTCTGCACCTCAGCTGTCCAGACCAGCACTGGTCGGCTGCGCCAGAGTGGGGACAGGCCAGTCACCAGCTGCGGGGCAGGCAGGTGCTGTGCCATGTGGTGCGTCCACAGCGGGGCTCCACATAACAGTTCCCAGAGAGCGGTTCCCAGGCGGGCGTGTCAGCATGGACGCGGCTCAGGCTGACATTGAGGGTGGCAGCCAGAGGAGACGCCACGGGTCCAGTGCTGCTCCCGGGTCTGACGTGCAGCTGGGGCAGTGGAAGCCACGCTCTGTGGGGGCAGGGCAATGGTGGCCAGGGGGCGGGGGCGGGGAGGGCTTGGGGGTCGCAGGCACTGCTGGTGTGGTTCTGCACGCTCAGAGGCCTGGCTGCGCTATGTTCTGTGCTCTTCCTAGTATACGATTTACACTTTAGAAAAAAGACGGAGACACTGTCCTTTACCTCGGGACCCAAGAACGGCAGCGCGTGATGGGGGCAGCGGCCAGGGCAGGGGCCAGGGCTGGCTCCTCCAACTGCCAGGGGCTGGCCAGGGACCGGGCAGGCGGGGGCTTCACCGTGCGCAGCGTGCGTGCTGCCCAGCCTAGCCGTCCCCAGACACAGTGGCGTCCTGCAGCTGGAAAACCTCATGCTGGACAAAGACGGCCACATCAAGATCACTGACTTCGGCCTGTGCAAAGAGGGCATCAGCGACGGGGCCACCATGAAGACCTTCTGTGGGACGCCGGAGTACCTGGCACCCGAGGTGCGTGGGCCGGGGCCGGGGGCGGCCGAGGGCGGAGCAGCCTGGGAGCCGTGCCCCCCCCCCCCCGCCCCAGGGCAGGGCTGCGCTGCCTCACCACCCCCTCCCCGCCCCAGGTGCTGGAGGACAACGACTATGGCAGGGCCGTGGACTGGTGGGGGCTGGGCGTGGTCATGTACGAGATGATGTGCGGCCGCCTGCCCTTCTACAACCAGGACCACGAGCGCCTCTTCGAGCTCATCCTCATGGAGGAGATCCGCTTCCCGCGCACGCTCAGCCCGGAGGCCAAGTCCCTGCTCGCCGGGCTGCTCAAGAAGGACCCCAAGCAGAGGTGAGGGCCGCCGCCGCGCCCCGGGCCTGCCCCGCGCTGGGCTGTGTGCGCCCCTGCCTCTGGAGCGGCAGCGTCTGCATGCCACAGGCTGGGGCCTGCCCGACCCCCGCGCCCGGTGCGTGGGGCGGCGGGGCTGATGGCCGTCTCTGCCCAGGCTCGGTGGGGGGCCCAGTGACGCCAAGGAGGTCATGGAGCACAGGTTCTTCCTCAGCGTCGACTGGCAGGACGTGGTGCACAGGAAGGTGAGAGCCCGCGCCTGGCCGCTGGCGGGCCCCGGCCGAGGCCGCGCGTCCTCGGGTCCGTGACCCGGGCCCTCTGCTCTGCAGCTCCTGCCGCCCTTCAAGCCCCAGGTCACCTCCGAGGTCGACACGCGGTACTTCGACGACGAGTTCACCGCGCAGTCCATCACAATCACACCCCCCGACCGCTGTGAGTGTGCCCGGCGCCGCCCGGCCGTGCTGGGGGAGGGGCGGCTGTCGCTCCCTGTGGAGCTCCGCGGGGAGGGCTCGGGCTGGCGCGTTGGCTCTGCTCTTGTGTCCTTAGCCAGCGGTAGCCTAGCCTGCCCCGGGGCCCTCGGTGTAGGGGGCATCGCCCACGTCAGCTGAGGAGCACTCCTGGCGGTGGGGGAGCGTTGTGCAGGCAAGGAGCGGCCATGGCAGGGCCGACGGAGCCGAGGAAGAGGGCAGGGTGCATCGTGGGGGCCGTGGGGTGGGAGGTCATTCTGCACAGGGGGAGGGACAGGGCTGCCTGGAGGACGCGTGCTCCGGCAGAGAGGGAGGGAGGGGGTGCCCTGGCCAAGGTCCCCGTGGGGCTCCCCGGCTGCTCCCGGGCAGCGTCCCCAACGCCCCTCCCCGGCCCGCAGATGACAGCCTGGGCTCGCTGGAGCTGGACCAGCGGACGCACTTCCCCCAGTTCTCCTACTCGGCCAGCATCCGCGAGTGAGCAGCGCCTGCGCCACAGGACACGCACGGCCGCCACCTGCCGCCCCACGGCAGTTTTTTAAAGAAACTGTATTTTGCCTTTTTGGTTTGTGTCCCCAGCCCTCACCACCTCACCCCTGTTCCCAGTTCCTCTTTCCTCCTCTCCCAAACTCAGCGATTGGTGCCAGCGGCCCCGGCCTCCGGCCCCACCTCTGTGCCCAGGCCCCGGCCGTGGGGAGGAGGGAACCCCGCGGGGGTGACCGTGGGGCCTGCCCGAGTTCTCGGCCAGGCTGCAGTGCATGTGGCCTGTGGGCTGCTCCCCTGCGTGGAGGCTGCCTTCGGGCTGCACCTGCGCACAGCGTCCTGGTGCTGCCTTCCATGCCCCTCGGCCCCCATGGGGGCAGAAAAGCAATAATGTCCAGGGACAGGCAGGGCTTCTGGAAGCTGCCAGGCTGGGGTGAGGGCTCCCTCGTGAGTGGAGCCAGGTCCCAGGATCCACATTGTGGGGGACTGGGAGGGGCCTCCCCACCCTGCTCCCACTAAGCTGCTCTCCTGCCCCTGTGGGCCAGGCAGCAGGAACTTGTGGGGGCTCTCTGCCTGTCCCCCAGCCCCGTGCCTTACCAGGGCTTCCTTCTCCTGGCCCTACCTCCAGCTGGACCCTGGGCCTGGGGGTCCCGGCCTGTCCGCCTGGGGGTGGGGCGGTGCCAGCCCGGCTGTTACACATCTCCCACCAAGACAGTATTGGGCCCTGCAAACCTGGGGAGGGGTGGAGGGGGCGTGTCTGGTACGGGTTGGGGCGGGCCTCTGAGAAGGGAGCTCCTGCACCACCCCCTCTCCCCTCCCCAGGACCCCACGTCCTGCAGCCTTAAGGGGGTCGTGAGCGCGAGTCCAAGTCCGTGCTGTGGCCGTGCGTGCGTGCCTAGGACTGCGTGACAGCGACGCCCTGAACTTCCGGATGCGGACGTGTGTGTGCGTGTGCGTGCGTGTGTGTGTGTGAGGGCAGCCCTCGGGTGTGCATGCGTGGACGGTGTGGGCGCCAGCCCCTGCCTGGCCCGTGGGGAGGGGTGCTGACCCAGTGAGGAGCCCCGCCTGGGGTCCACTGCTGCCCCCTCGCCTTCTCTGGCCCCAGCATCTCTGGGTGTTTGGAATTCGGTTTCTGTGGTCTGGATCCCCCACCCCGTCCCTGTTCTAGGCAGTTGACAAAGGCAAGTGGGGTGGGGGCGGCTTGGGTGGGGTCTTCTTTCCTGGGTGTGTGTTGTTCACCGGACAGTTCTGCCCATCCCCACTGGCCTCCCCCTCCTATTTGTACGGTACGAGCAATAAAGACACTCATTTCAGACAGGCTCAGCCTGCACTTCCGCCGCCCGGCCTCGGCCCGCCCTGGGCCCCGAGTGCTGCTGCCGCTCCCAGTGCTGCGCACAGAGTAGGGGCGCAGGTGGGGGTGCGCACGGGGTCAGCAGTTGGGCAGTAGGTGGGCATTTGCTCGAGCTCAGGGGGAGAGGGAGATGGTAGACCGTGGTGTGGGAGGGGCCTTGTGGCTTGAGAGCTGAGAAGCTGGGGAGGCTCTGGGCTGCAGGGCGGGGAGTGGGGGTAGACAGCGACCATTCCAGGCTCTCTGGTGCTGCTCAGGCTAAGCAGGGGCAGGGAGGGCTGGGTGGCTGGAGGGTGGAGGGCGTGTGGTGTCACAGTCCAGGAGCCCTGTGGGGGCGGATGGCAGGCCTGGCAGGGACTGTTGGCTGCACAGCTCCTCCCGGGCAGCCCCAAGGCCCCCACAGCCCAGGACAAGATGTGTGCGGTCTTGGTGGTGCTTGGGTCGATGCCGGCCAGGAGCGCCTGAGCCTGTGGGTGCTGGAGCGCTGCCCATCACTCCTCTGGTGGCCTGACTGCGCTCTTGAGTCACTGGGACATGTGGGCCGGGTCCCAATGCCGTCCCCTCTTGAGGACTGAGACCCGAGCTATGCCCTGCCATACAGAGGACCGAAACTCCGGATTTTGCCAGAAGGTGTCAGGGTTTCACACGCGTGGGGTCTGAGGTCTTGCTTATTGTTTAAGATTTATTTTATTTATTTGAAAGAGTTGAACACAGAGAAGGAGAGGCAGAAAGAGGTCTTCCATCTGCTGGTCCACTCCTCAGCTGGCCCAAGTCCGAAGCCAGGAACCAGGAGCTTCTTCTGGGTCTCCCACACAGGTGCAGGGGCCCAAGGACTTGGGCCATCTTCTACTGCTCTCCCAGGCCATAGCAGAGCACTGGATCAGAAGTGGAGCAGCCGGGACTAGAACCAGCGCCCATATGGGATGCCAGCCCTGCAGGCCACGGCTTTATCCGCCTCAAACCCCCCAGGGTTTGAGGTCTTAAGGGAGGAAGTGAAGTGTCAGATTCAGTTTGCAAAATCTTCCTTGAGTACAGCAGACTCTTGGGGTTTTGCTGATGTGTTTTTCTCACTTTCTGTGGCTGTTGCTTTTGTGACTACAAATGCATGCCCCAGTGGTCATGAGACCGTAGGCCTGTGGGTCCCCTGGGCCCGCCTGGAGGTGGCCATGTGAGCGCCCAGCATTCCTCACCGTCTGCTTCCTGCTCTCTGTGGTCGTCTCATGCCCAGTGGGAGGGGGTCTCATGGTTTGATCAGCTGCTTCCCAAAGCTTAACATACGAGGGTGTTTCAAAAGGTTTGTGAGAAAATCCACTTAAGCGGTGTTTATTTGGTGCAAAAGAGCCTTGAACTCCAGGCGTGATAACGCGTTTTCCACAGGCATTTTGAGGATCCTCCTGTGAATGGGTTCCACATCGCCGCACTTGGAGACTCCCCAGCGTAGGTGCTTGTGCAGCGGTGAGGCAGCCGCTCGCGATGCCTGCATCTCACAGCAGAGTGTTTGGGGTCCAGGCCAAGCTTTGCTTCTGACTCTGGCTCCCCCCTAACGCACACCCTGGGAAGCAGTGGTTGATGGCTCAGGTACTTGGTCCCTGCCGCCCACACAGGAGACCCAGATTGAGTTCAGGCTCCTGGCTTCGGCTTGGTCCAGCCCTGGCTTCTGTGGGCATTTGGGGTGGGCACACATGCACATGCCCCCCCTCCCCCACTGCCTTTCAGATAAGTACGGGTTTTAAAAATAAACTTTTAATTGCGTTTTCCATGAGCTTTCGCAGTATCCGTACACATCGTCACACGTACTGCTGTTCATTTCTGTGGAACTGTTCCCAAGGAGGCAGTTGGGGCTGAAGAATTTCGGTGACGTTTTGATCAGTTCAGTGTTGAGGCGACTGTAGCTCTGGTGTTGTGGTGCAGAAGGGTAGGCCTGCTGCTTGCAAAGTCAGCCTCCAGTTTTTGAGTTCAGGCCACTCTGCTTCCAGTCCAGCTCCCTGCTAACTGCCTGAGAAGGCAGGAGAAGACAGCTGAAGTTCTTGGGTCCCCACCACCCATGGGAGACCAGAATGGAATTCCAGGCTGCTGGCATCAGCTTGGCCCAGACCTGGCCATTGTGGCCATTTGGGGCATGAACCAGTGGATGGAAGATCCCTCTCTGTCAATCTGCCTTCCAAATACATAAATTTTTTTTAAGTAGGCATTTTTTTTGAAGATTGATTTATTTGAAAGGCAGAGTTGCAGAGAGAGAGAGAGGTCTTCCATCCACTGGTTCCCTCTCCAAATGACAGCAAAGGCCAGAACAGCTGATCCGAAGCCAGAAGCCAGGAGCTTCTTCCAGGTCTCCCATGTGGGTGCAGGAGTCCAAGCACTTGGGCCATCTTCTACTGCTTTCCCAGGCCATAGCAGAGAGCTGGATCGGAAGTGGAGCAGCCGGGACTCAAACTGGGACCCATGTGGGATGCTGGCACTGCAGGTGGCGGCTTTACCTGCTATGCCACAGCACCAGCCCCAAATACATAAATTTTAAAAACTTTTGAGTAGGCCAGCACTGCAGCTCACTAAGCTAATCCTCTGCCTGCGGCGCCAGGACTCTAGGTTCTAGTCCTGGTTAGGGCGCCGGATTCTGTCCCAGTTGCTCCTCTTCCAGTCCAGCTCTCTGCTGTGGCCTGGGAAGGCAGTGGAGGATGGCCCAAGTCCTTGGGCCCTGCACCCGCATGGGAGACCAGGAGGAAGCACCTGACTCCTAGCTTTGGATCGGTGCAGCGCCAGCCATAGCTGTCATTTGGGGGGTGAACCAATGGAAAAAGGAAGACCTTTCTCTCTGTCTCTCTCTTTCACTGTCTAACTCTGCCTGTAAAAAAATAAACCACTTTTGAGTAGGTTATCCAGGGTTTTGCAGTGTGTATCTTAAGAATTCCTGAGTTTGGTTCGTGTGTACATTGAGCAACATAAGTGAAACAGAGAAGAGGAAGAAAGTCGAAATGGGCGCAGGCCCAGGGCGGCGGGTGTGGGTGTTGCCTTTCCCTGCGGATGGATGCTGTGTCGTGAACAGAGCCTCCCTCCTTGTTTGGAACCCGCCCTCGGGGTGAGAGCCAGGCCCGGGGTGGATCCTGCCACGTCTCACTGCTCCTGCCTTCAGCTGCTGCCTCACCCACGGTGCGGGGTCGCTGGTAAGAGGATCTCCTCTTACCCACTCCTGGGCGGTGTCGGGGAGGTCAGAGCCCAGCTGCTCCCCGTGGACAGAAATTTACTGTGGATTTTTTTGGTTGATACCATCCATGCTTTGATAAACCTTCCTTGATCTGAACTTACCATGTCTGTGTGTTTTTTGTTTGTTTGTTTGTTTTTAAGATTTATTTCAAAGGCAGAGTTACAGAGAGATCTTCCATCTGCTCTTTTACCACTAAAATGGCTGCAGTGGCCGGAGCTGCACCAATCCAAAGCCAGGAGCTGCTTCTGGGTCTCCCACACAGGTGCAGGGGCCCAAGCACTTGGGCCATCCTCCACTGCTCTCCCAGGCCATAGCAGAGAGCTGGATCGGAAGTGGAGCAGCCGGGACTTGAGCCAGCGCTCATATGGGAAGTTGACACTGCAGGTGGAGGATTTACCCGCTTCGCCACAGCACCGCCCCCAACCCAGAATTTTAACGTGTCAGCTTTCAAAAACGGCACAGGGTGAGCACTGTCACGCGAGGGTGAGCCGCTCCCATCCCGTGTTGGGGTGCCGGGGACAGTGCTGCCTCTGCTCCAGTCCCGCTTCCTGCTAATGAGCACCTGGGAAGCAGCCAATGATGACTTCAGGCCGTGGGCTCCTGGCTTTGGCTTGACCCAGCTCTCTCTGTTGCGGGCGTTTGGGGAGTGAATCGGAGGGTGAAAGATCGGAAGATCATTGTGTCTGTTTCTGTTTCTACCACTCCCCTTTCATATAATGAAGGCATAAATAAGCATGAGTAAGTAGGTCTGGGGCCGGCATTGTGCGGTGGGTAAAGCCACCACCTGTGGCACCGGAATCCCATATGGGTGCCAGTTTTTATCCTGGCTGCTCCACTTCTGATCCAACTCCCTGCTGGTGTGCCTGGGAAAGCAGCGGGACATGGCCTAAGTGCTTGGATCCCTGCCACCCACGTGGGAAACCCAGATGGACTTCCACTCTCCTGGTCTTGGCCCGGGTCAGAGCTGGCCGTTGGGGCCATCTGGGGGTGTGAACCAGTCTCTGTAACTCTGACTTTCAAAGTAAATAAATAAATCTTTTAAAAAAAGGTATGGTTCACATAGTTTAGAAAACTTTCAAAACTCAAAATACTATTAAGAGCCGGCGCCGCGGCTCACTAGGCTAATCCTCCGCCTTGCGGCGCCGGCACCCCGGGTTCTAGTCCCGATCAGGGCGCCGGATTCTGTCCTGGTTGCCCCTCTTCCAGGCTAGCTCTCTGCTGTGGCCAAGGAGTGCAGTGGAGGATGGCCCAAGTGCTTGGGCCCTGCACCCCATGGGAGACCAGGAGAAGCACCTGGCTCCTGCCATCGGATCAGCGCGGTGCGCTGGCCACGGTGGCCATTGGAGGGTGAACCAATGGCAAAGGAAGACCTTTCTCTCTCTCTCTCATTGTCCACTCTGCCTGTTCAAAAAATAATAATACTATCAAGATGATTGTAGAAGAGCATATTGCAAGCTGAGCTTGGGGCGTCTTGGAAGTTAGGAGCTGCTTTGGAAAAATCAGAACACAACACCTCAGCGGTGGGTACGACAGCAGAACCCAGGAGCCAGCAGAAAGGGGCACAGTGGCCAAAGCTGACAGCCAGTTGACTACCAAGTGTGTAGCAGAGTTTTAGATGTTGCCCAAAGTGTAAAATCATCCATGCACCTGTACTGTTAGATCCTTGGTATGAAAAATACCAATGACCTCTGTAGACACTGCCTTCCAGGAGGGGTGCCTGGCCTTGGCCCTGGGGTGAGCTCTCCAGAGGGCAGGCTGTGGGT